AGATCGTATACGATAATTATATTTAACTACAAATGATATGCTATCAATACTTGTGCACCTATTATTGATAGCATATCATTTGTAAAAATAGTTATGCTTATGCTATAATTATGATATGCTATAATTATATTTGAAAAAACGGTTATACTATTTGTTAAACCCAAGTATATCCGTGCTATTATTTGAACATAATGATATGCTATATTTAAAAAAAACCCAAGTATATTATGTGAACCTAATAAAATATTGAAAAATAAATTAAGTCCAATCACAATCACAAAATACAATCCAATCATCATTAATAGTTGATATTTTATGTGAACCTAATAAATACAATTATTCTTAATCAATTTAAAATTTTAATCACCATATTAAAAATAAATGATTTACTTACAGACTTTGAAATGTTTTTCTTCCAAGATTTTGTCTTACTCTCTCTCCCAAACTACTGCGTAAGGCTGTTGCTCTCTCCCAAACTTCTTGTTTAGGCTGCTTTGATAGGTTTCCTATTTAAATACAGTGAAGATTGTCCAACAAATAATAATAGGTAGCAGTGAGTTTCTTTAAGCAATGGCGGGAAAGTTGTTGTTGTTGTTGTTGTTTTTTTTTTAATTTTTAAAATCAAAAAATTAAGAAATTCATATTCAAAATACAATTTAATCATCATCAATAGTGGATGCTTTATGTGAACTTAATAAATGCAATCTAATATTTTTTTTCAAAAAACATAGATTAAAAATACAATCACTGCCTGATTGTATTTAAAAAACATGAATACAATCTTCTTCTTTTTTTTATGAAAAAAAACAGATTAAATGGAGTGCAAAAAAATAAAATCATTTAAAAAATAAAATCACCGTGTGATCACACCGGAGTGTAAAAAAACATAATCACATTTTTGCTCATAAACAATAAAAAAAACAGTGAAGTCAATTGATAATTAAAAAATATAATTTTTTTTTTCAAAAAACCTAATGACTGAAAAACTCAATCACAAATTAAGTTAATTGATAGTTAAAAAGCACAATCATTTTGTTTTTTTTTTTTTTAAAAAATACAGTAAGTTAAAAAATCCAATTACAAAATACAATCCATTCATCATCGTCAATGATACGTATTTCATGTGAACCTAATGAATACAATCTTTTTTTTTCTTCAAAAAACATAGATTAAAAATAAAATATTGAAATATAAATTAAATTCAATCACAATCACAATCACAATCACAAAATATAATCCAAACATATTAAAAAATAAATGATTTAGTTACCGATTTTGAAATGTTTTTCTTCCAAGATTCTGTCTTACTCTCTCTCCCAAACTGCTATGTAAGGTTGCTGCTCCCAAACTTTTTTGTTTAGGCTGTTGTGATAAGGTTTCTTTAGGCTGATGTGATATAGGGTTTAGGTTAATAGTAATAGGTAGGAGTGGGTTTCTTTACTCAAAGGCGGAAAAGTTGTTTTTGTTTTTTTTTAAATCAGATAATTAAGAAATACATTCAGTTAAAAAATATAATCACATTTGTTTTTCACACCGTCTGATCAGAACAAAATGTATGTAAAAAACCATAATCATATTTTCATTCATTCTCATAATAATAAAAAATAAAATAAAACAAAAGCAATGGTGTCAATTGAATAAAGAAATAAATGAAAAGAAAAGCAATTAAATCAATTGAAGATTACTTACAGGAAAATAATAGCTGATTGTTGAAGTAATGAAGTCAGACGGCTGTTGAAGTAAGGAAGTCAATTGAATAAAGAAATAGCTGAGAAGAAAAGCAAACGTTAAAAAATTAAATGAAAAGAAAAGCAATGAAAGCAAGCATTAAAAAAATAAGCCAAAAAGAAAAGCAATAAAGTCGATGAAAGATATGAAAGCAAGCATTAAAAAAATAAGCCAAAAAGAAAAGCAATAAAGTCGATGAAAGATTACTCACAGAAAAAGTGGAAGTGAGAAATAAGATGCGGCGGTGGAGGCGTAAAGGAAAAAAATAATGTAAGTGAAGGATAGGGTTTGGGGCTATGTAGCATGGGTGCGGGTACGAGTACGGTATGAGTGTGAGTACGGGTATATTGATATGTCAAAATTCAAAAAAAGTATGATACCGGTATGGCTGCGGTACGCTGATAATTTTTATTTTTATTTTTATTTTTATAATTGTGGTTAAAGATCTAACCTACAAATTAAAATTTAAAATCAAAACTAAAAAAAGGACTACAAAAATGGTCATAACTAATATCATTTTAAAAATTAAAATAATTAAAAGTTAAAAGTTTGATTTATTATTAAAATAAAATTCTAAATTATTATTACTTTTTTTATAATTTTTTTTCCCCTTCAAATGGATAAGTCAGTGACACTAATTTGTTATAAAAGGAAAGAAAAATAAAAATACACATATTCATAGGATTATAAGGATTATAGGATTATAAGTCAGTGTGTGGTGCTGACTCAGTGTATTCAAAAGGATAAGTCAGTGTATAATTATATTATATTGTATAGACAGAGAGAGAGAGAGAGAGAGAGAGAGAGAGTGTAAATAAAAGAAAGAGAATTGCAGCACCAGTTTCCCCTTCCAACGAAGACAATTGCAGCACCAAACCATTCTCTCTCTCTCTCTCACATAGCAAATCAACCCAACCCACCAGCAGAAATTGCAAGAAGTCCGACGATCTGAAGCCCTACGCGATCTTCTAGGTGGATTCAGATCGCCGTTTGGCCACCAAGTCCGACGACTTTGGCTCCACCCGCCCCGTCTAGAACGAGCACTTCGTCTTCCCCCGTTCCTTCCCTTTTCACGATTCCCTCCTCACCCTCGAAATCTTTCACTCCAAACCCTCCGAGACCCTTAAGCCCTTAGTTAGCTTTCTCCATCTTGCTCTCAAGGAACTCGCTGGCAGGGATGAGGATTCGAAGGAAGAACTGAGATTGAAGATTATGATGCCCCGATAAACCAGGTTTGTATATATTTTTAATATTACAAAATAACCCTCTATTTTTTGTTTTTTTTAATAAAGAGCATAAAAAACTTGCTTCGGTACCCTGAATTTCTTTGCAATTTGATTTTTTGCCCGGTGTACCCGAAACGTACCCACGGCGTACCCATGCTGTACCCAAATGTACCAAACGTACCGGATCCCCTTTGGCAGTACCCGGTACACGTGCAGTCGTACCGGTACGCGTCCCGTACCTGGTACGTACCCGATACTTGTACGGCACCAAAAATGGAGTACCGTGCTTCATTGGTTTAGGGTTATTTAAAAAGGGTGGGTGGGGAGTTTTTTTTTTTAAATAAAAAAATTAAGAAACAACACACAAACTCAAAATATAACTCATACTCTCAAATCACATTTACAAAACTCTACCAAACACTACCTTAGAGTCTCCACAAGAGCTGTGGTTAAAAAGACCCTTTTCTTATATAATAGATTACTCAAATGTGAATTGAAAATTAAGGTACCTAATTACTTAAGCCTTCGTTTGGGATGTGGGTTAACTTTTTAGCTTTTTGACTTTTTGACTATTTTAGTCTGAGGCTAAAAAGTCTCGTTTGGGATGAGTTTGTTGACTTTTGCAAAAGAAAAATGAAATTATTATGGTTTAGATGTGACATTTTGTCTTATTATCTTTTTAACCTATTTTATCTTTTTGTGACTAAAATAGCCAAAGTACCGCATGCCAAACATAGCCTAAAACTCAATATGCTTCTTCTGATTAATAATTTCATCATATATATTCAATCCCTCAAAAATAATCCCTATATCAAGTTCATCAACGATGATATCAATTTATAATGAAGAAACAATAGTAACTAATTATTTTCTATGGGCTTTATTATATGGGGGTTTTAAGAGGTTCCATAATGAAAATCTTAGTTTTCAATTTATATTATGTTCCTCTCGGTGAATCTTATCGAGAATTTTATAAACTTTGAAAAACAGAGATGGTTCACTTTGGCTTTTGACGAGAGCTTTTGCCAATTTAGCTGCCAGTAACTGACTCTGCTTTGGTCGGATTTTGTTGCGGACAAGATAGGACATATTGAGCATGTTGAAATTTAAAGATGGACATATTGAACTTGAACGTGAAGTACCCTCCCCTTCTGGCTACGGTGGGTAGCAGACTTTGCTTGGGTAGCAGACTTTGCTTGACGACGAGAGTTGAGCTTTGAATTGGATTACCTCTTATATATGTAGTTATGCACCTCATGATTGTAATTCTCATATTTTATTTTTTTGCCGTTCTGGGGATACAAATGGGCTAGAAAATTGGGGCTGCTCAACTCTGTTTTTTTTATTTTTTTTAATTTTACAAATTGCACAAAAATGTTCCATATTTTTTATTATACTGCTGAAATGATACAGGCACAGAACAGAAGATGCCTGATAAGGAGCTCTGCTGCAATGGCACAACTTTAGGGTAAGTGAAGTTTATTAAAAAGAGAAATAATTTATCTAAACTGCATTGTTGGCATCACCCCCTTCTTGACACTCTGAGACTGAAATTTGCAGTTTGTCACTGTTTCATAACAAAAAAGCTCTATCAAAATTGTCATTTCCCGTTTGACCACATTGGGTTATTAAATACTATGTTCAACAAATTCCATGAGTAATTATGCTATACTAAGAAGCGGTAATTTACATTCAGCACACATGAAATTCTAAACTGAAAGTTGCAATCTACTGACTGCACCTGAGGGTGAAATTCTAAACTGATAGTTGCAATCTACTGTCTGCACCTGACGCTATCTGCATACAAAACGAAATTAGGCCTGCAGGCCCATTGCCAGCCAGATGAATGGTAAAGAGGCATCAGCACTAACAAACCAAATGCTGAAATCAAATTTATACCCATTTCCTCTCTCTGCATAATAAATCTGACCTACATAATTTGTCCTCCTATCCAGCATAGCATTTTTTTTTTCTGTACACAAAACACATGGGTGTTCCAACTACACCTTTTCAATGACCAAGTTAAATGTGAGCTCTGATGTAAAATCATCTGACAGCCTCTGGTGCAGAGTTGCAGTAAGGAGTGTGCAAGCAAACCAACTTAGTGCATGTTAGGCACACAGTAGCGAACCCTACACCCATCATGAGGCCAAAGCTTCCCTTCTTTGTATCTGACATGGATAGGCCCACGAGGCATACGGCCTACAGCAAACCACCTCGAACCCATCGCTTAGGACCAATAGCATAACCTGGTTGGCAAAGCCCAGGACAGCTGGAGGCCATCTAGGCATGGGGGGCCAATGGCATTCGGGCACATGGCAGGTGGAACACGGGCCACATCAGCAGACAAAGATCTGCAGAGTTATTACCACAACACATCACCATTAATGCATCCTATCACAGCATTTATTACGACAACACCTCCCCGTCGGAACAGAGCCCCCTCACCCTGAACAAGGTAAGCTACGGCACAGGCTTTCGGCGGAAGGGGGCACGTCACAAGGGACAATGAAATGATTACCAAAGGATATAAGCAAGAATAGCAAGGCAAGAGGAAGGTTAAGCTTTTTATCTCTCCATCTCTCCCTCTCCACATTTCCTTCTTCCTCTACTAATTCTCACGCCGGAGGGTTCACTGGGGGACTGCCCCGTTCCCCTTTGGACTTGCATGCAGGTCATTTGACGAAATCATCACCCTAAACCGGAATTTGAAGAGCCTGGACCAGCCCGACCCATCCACCCGGTACGGATAGCATCATCAGTTGGCGCCGTCTGTGGGAAACTTGTGGTTTATTCGTGCGCTAGTTGTGTTCGCTATCGCTGGAGCCCTCCTTTCTCACTATTACCCTTTTTCCTCTCACCCGTCCAGGTGTATGGTCACGACTAGGTCCATGGCCTCCCACCATAATACCACCGATCATCAAACAGACCCTTCCCATCCAAACAACCCACCACAGTACATCATCGAACTTACTAACAGTATTAACCGCATGGCCGAGCAAAACCAGGCCCTAATCGGTGCTTTACTTCAAAGAAACCCCCCCGCTCCACCTCCAGATATTCCACCCAACCAAGAAAGAACCCCAGACCACACTACTCCGCCACCTCTTCCCTCAAACCCAGAAGGTTTACAACCCCTCTCCTCCACATATGAGCCTACCACCCCCGCCTCACGCGCCGCCTAACGGTCGTGCTCACTAGCCCCTGCAGGGTGGAAGCCAAGCAGTGTCCAGCCCTAATTTGAGCCGACCATGGCGACAAACATTCTCCCTCGTGGCGAACGAGAAACTCCGAGCATGAAACTTCAACTACAAGGGGTATCCAGAACATCCAGCACAAAGCCCTCAGCCACACGCCCAACTCCCTTTTGTTGCCTCGCATGCCGCCCCGACAAAACCGTTGTGCCCGCCAATTCAAAATGGCCCTACCATTGACTCCTGTTCGATGTGCACGACATGACCCAGTCGACCATTCTGGAAACCTACCGCACCCTCATGATCCTCTCTTTCCTTGCGAGATCATGTGTCGAGCTTTTCCAGTGACACTAAAGGGATCAGCTCGATTGTGGTTTAGCCAGTTACCGGCGGGCTCCGTCTCTACCTTCCAACACCTCAGTGACTCTTTCTTGAGCCACTTCATCGGGGCCCAGCGTCAGAGACGTCCAGCCACCCAACTCCTAAACATTCGTCAGACCGAGGGGGAGTCGCTCCGCAGCTTCGTCACCTGCTTCAACACCGAGGCTCTTCAAGTAGCGGAGAATGACGACAAGGTCATCCTCACCGCTTTCATGGCCGGCCTGCGGTCGTCGGATTTCCTTTTCTCCCTCTCCAAAAACCCTCCAACCACCATGGCAGCCCTACTATCCAAAGCCCAGAAATACATGAATGCTGAAGATTTCCTGGCCGCTCAGCAAGAGCCCACCCCTAAAAATCCGATCCCTAGAGACAAGAGGAAAGACTCCGAAAACATAGCCGCCCAGTATAATCGCCAAACACCCCACTATAATGACCGACCCCCCCGTGCCGACTGGTCGACTCTGACCCGACCGCCCGGTCGGTTTGAGCGATACACACCTCTTAACTCCCCCATGGAGCACGTCCTCAATCAGATCCAGCGGGACTACCCCCTCAAGTGGCCCCTACCTTCACGGAACCCTTCCACTCGAAAAGATCAGTCCAAATACTGCCGTTTCCATCAAGAACATGGTCATACCACCGACGAGTGTATTAACCTCAAAGATCAGATCGAGACCTTCATACGCCAGGGTCGCCTCAGTCGATTCACAGACACCCGCCCTCCACAGAGGCAAAGAACCGACCTCACCAGGAACAATCGCCGACAAACACCACCCCGTAATCAAGCCCCACCTAACCAAGGCCACGATCGCCCACCACCGCAGCCTCGGCCTCCTGGTAATCCCCCTCCACCAGTCGGAGAAATCCGAGTCATTTCGGGGGGCCTTGCTTGCGGGGGGCCATCCCGCTCGACTCAGAAGGCAGAACTAAGAAAAATCCGACAGGGATCAGACAGGGGGCACGTCACAAGGGGCAGTGAAATAATTACCAAAGGATATAAGCAAGGATAGAAAGACAAGAGAAAGGTTAAGCTTTTGATCCCTCTCTCTCTCTCTCTACATTTTCCTACTTCCTCTACTAATTCTCAAACCGGAGGGACTCTAATTATGTTTGATTGAATTATGTAATTTATTAAATTAATATCCA